ATAATTGATAACATATTTTCACATTTACTATACGTCTAAATGGTGACAGTATTAATGTTGAGAAAAATTTTACAATTAATGTGAAAATAACTTCATTTATTTCCAATTATGTAATTAATAAAATGGTATATTTTATATCTTATTTATAATTGTAAATAATGTCTCCAATATATTGATCCAAAAGAGCTGTCTTTACATTCACGTCGAAGAATTTGGGACCAAATGTCTCAATCACTTCTTTTGGCTGATATTTGAATTCATTTAACAATAAAAATCAATCAACACTTCAATTGATATCAAATTCTTCAAAATCAGAAGCAATTGAAACCCAGAATATAAACCTTTATTTCATTTGTATAAGAGTTACCATTAAATTAAACGTTAAAAACTAATTTTGTAACGGTTTTCATATCTATTTGTATGCAAACTACAAGTGCTCTAATAGTTGTCTCATTTATTACCACCACTTTTTGGTGGATTGGGATTAGAGTAGGGAAACCATTCTGAAGCCATATCTGAAGCCAATAGAGGCAACCATTTATACCATTAATTATAATTTCATCTCAAGAGGAATACTTAATTCATAATTAGATTTCAAGTAAAGATCTTTTATAAGTGATGTTAAGACAAGATATTGAAAGTATCACTCAATTGGTTATAAAATAGTTAAGAATTAGTAAATGAATTCATAAATTGTTTTTTCAACGGTTTTTTATTTTACAAAAAATTCAAGAAAAAGACTACAAATTTGGAAAAAACGAATTCTTCGATAACTTCTTGGAGACCATCAGAGCTGAGGTCTGTCTTCACTCGTCGTCGCCTCCCTTTCGAGAGCGTCTTCGGCGGCGTCGACGGCCTCCACGACCGGAGCGACTGCGAGATCGTCTTCCGCCGCGTCTTCGGCGACGTCTCCGACCGCACGACTCGTCTCCGCCTTTGGATTTCCTTCTTCGGCGACGCCTCGACTCCTGAACCTCTCCTCCAGACCTCAGTCTCGGCAACAGTTCTGTCGTCTCTTCGGTTTCAACGGAATTCATCGTTTGATTGAGTTTTTGATTCAATAATTTTGTGTTCAATTGAAATGAAAGATGAATTGGAAATGATTTGAAATTCAAATTCTAAGCCATTTATATAGGAATCCAACAATTAATGCATTAAAACGCGCTCTAAATGTCTAATTATAACACAATTAGACTGTAATTAGACTGTAATTAGACTGTAATCAACGCTAAGTCGCGTTCACTATAACGAGCTGTGAATGCATTTCAGCCAAAAGTGAATCAATTTTCCAATCGTTTCAATGAAAGCATAAAAACTGTTAACAAAACTCACAAAACTATTATCCGATAGTTTTGTCACTTATTTTGCGCTCAAAAACATGTCATTCATCTCAAGGCTGTTATCATCTCTTCGTTGGCCGACAAGAGTGGACACAACTTGTGAATCACATCCAGTGATTGTCGCCGAAGAGGTTAACGCCATGACTGCGCCCACAAGACAAGTGATGAACGACGACGTGTTGGGTCTCGTATTGGATCAGTTGTCTATCAAACAGGCGCTCAGATTAGAGAGAGTTAGCCATCAATTCATGGATTGTGTCTCAACTACTCTCCAGAAGAAGGCAAAGATATCGGTCAAGAATTGTGCCATTGGTTGCCGTTATAGTGATCGCCGAGACATCAGTGACGCCATTGTCCACAAAGACCACGACTTGGATGACAATCAATACGTCTATTGTCTGAATCTGATTGAATCCAAAGAGGCGTTGGATTCAGTGCTCCAGAAGTTGCCAAACATTGGATCCCTATATCTGAAGAACGCTTCCATTGATTTGGAATGTCTTAAGATTATTGTCAATCGCTGTCAACGACTAAAGCGCTTGGAATTGAATTTCGTTGAAATTGTGACACAAACTGACGAAGAAGTGACCGAATGGTCGGACCAGTTGTCCGGATTGACTGATTTGGTTGTCCATCACTTGAAGAACGCGTATTACGTGAAAGTGTTGGAAGGGATGAGAGGTTTGCGGTCACTGAAGACACTTGAGTTGTATCACTTCGACAACGGTTTGGATGTTTTGGGACAATTCGTTCCGCAAACTCTTCGCTCGCTTACAGTCAGGAGTCGATTCTTTAAGAGCGTATCGATGGATGCGTTGATCGCCAGTTGTCCACAACTGGAAGTGTTGGCCGTTTTGGAAGCGCACGGAAACGTCAAATGGGACGAAGAAATGGCCAAAATTTGCGATCACTTGACACTCAAGTCGTTTTCATTCAAAAGTCTTCACAACGTGTCCAATGATGTCTTGCAGACAAAGGTTTCGCAACTCAATCGCTTGAGACACTTGACATTCGTTCAGATGGTAGCGGATCCCAGTTTTATGATATGGATGACCGAATTAAGGTCTTTGGATATCCATGGCTTCAATTCAAAGTCACAATTGTGGGCAACTGTGGGCCAAATGTGGCCTAAATTGAGGCAATTGTCACTTCATATCGTGTTCTTGCAATGCGACTGCACTGATGGCAATCCCGTCAATGGATGTCATGAATGTGTTCACCAATTGATGACAAGTATAGCACAATTGCCGCAACTCAAGAGTCTAGAGGTTCAATGGTTTGGCCCACACTTTCCCTTTCGTCTCCGAGACCTGAATCTCTTCAAAGAACTCCATGTTTTGCATTTGCCATCTCTTAAGGACATGAAGAAATTGGTCTCCTTTTGCAAGAATTCGCTCTACAATAGAGAGTCAGATAAAGCCTTTCGCCTTAAATTGGATCCCAAGACGAAGAGAGCTCTTCAGCGACAACTGACCGCATTCAATGTCTCCACTCCGAAGTGTCTTTTGATTAAATGATTAGTTTAAGTCAACATTTTCTTCAATTAATTCCCAATTATTAAAACTTTTTATATAAAATTCTTCAATTCTTAATATCTCTATCTTATGATTTGTTTTTAACATTTATTATTTTTAATTAAATTTACGATAACTATTACTATACTCTAATTTTTAATCTATTTTATCAATAATTTCTATAGAAGTTTGATTTGACTTTAGTTTAATTTAAGTTTTGTTTTCATTCAATCAAATTGTATCGTTTTTATCATAACATTTTCACTTCAATAACATTACAATTCAAATAAGTTTTGTATTTATTTCAATGTTTTGAGATTTAAAAACCTTTATTTAGTTTAATTTCTAATTAAATTAAAAATATCTTATTTTACAATTAGACTAATAATTAGTATAACTGATCCTCGACTGGAGGACAGGTGCAGAAGAGATGAGTATCGCCATAGATATCGTCAATGCGACCAACAGTTGGCCATATCTTCGTCTCCGGCTGTATATAACTCTATATTGGAAACAATTAATGAATAAATGCCTTAACATTGCAGTCAATTATAGTTACGGCGGGAAAGGCGGCCACTTCTCGAGTGTAGGGACGGTTCCAATCAGATGAACAAATCACTCGTTGTGTATGCGGTGCGCACTAAACACGGGATCAGATGAGTAAACCTCAATGAAGACATTTATCAAAGAAAAAACTCACTTTCAATGGATTGATCTTTCTATCCATAGTTCCGGTCTCGATGTCTCTGATCTCGTGTCTGATCCGAAGCATAGCGTCGCAGAAGCGGTCCATCTCTTGCTTGTCTTCAGACTCCGTCGGTTCAATCATCAGAGTGTTGGCGACCGGGAAGGAGACGGTCGGCGCGTGAAAGCCGTAGTCCTGCAGTCGTTTGGCGATATCCATGGCCTCCACTCCCGCCGTCTTCTTGAAGTCCCTGACATCGAGTATGAACTCGTGGGCAACCGTTCCGTTCACTCCTTTGTACAGCACTTTATACCCGTCTTTCAGTTTCACAGACATATAATTAGCGTTAAGTATCGCCACTTCAGACGCATGTCGTAATCCCTGTCCACCCATTAGCTTAATGTATGCCCAACTGATTGGCAGTATAGCTGCTGAACCCCAGGGCGCGGCCGACACTGTGCCGAAGCTATCATCAAAAGTATTGTAACAAATATTAGAGTTTTAAAATTCATGATTTTATATGACAATCAATTGTTTGAAAGTAGCGGAGAGAGAGAGAGAGAGANTTTTCCTTGTCTTCACTCAATTATAAGAAAAGCTACTTTTCAAAAAAAATATATTTAATTAACTTTATTATTATTATGTCTTCATTTAATGACCTAAGAGAGAGAGAGAGAGAGAGAGAGAGAATGAGTACCTGAGCGGTGTGTCAGTCATCTCGTCCACAACCACCGGATGTGTCGGCAGAAAAGGTGTTACTATTTGGGAAATCATTAGAAAATCATTAAGATTAAGATTGCAGAGCAGTTACTTGAAGGCAATTGATTTGAATTCAAAATCAATACATCATTAAATGGATTAATAATACAAAACTTGTATACAGTGTTTCTTAACAGCGATGGGTCCCATTCCAGGGCCGCCTCCGCCGTGAGGTATACAAAATGTTTTGTGAAGATTGAGATGAGAGACATCACTGCCGTAATCGCCTGTGAATTACATAATCACAAAATGTAATTATGTGTTGCAATAATTATAGAAATATTTTCATTTTCTTTAGTAATAAAAGCAAATATTTGGTTGAATAAAAAAGTGACGCATACCGGGCCTACACAGGCCTACCTGTGCGTTCATATTAGCGCCGTCTAAATACACCTGCGCTGAGCCGCACGAGTGGACGAGATCACAGATTTGTCCGATCGAGTCCTCGAAGACACCGAAAGTGGACGGATAGGTAACCATTAGGCAAGCGATCCGATCGGAAAATTTGGCCAACTTTTAGTGCATTAAATGAAGACATAATAATAATAAAGTTAATTAAATATATATTTTTAAAAGTAGTTTTTCTTATAATTGAGTGAAGACAAGGAAAAGTTCAATGACTTTGACAACAGAATCAAAAGTTGCATTTTGTGTAGTTTTTGTTCAGGTATTCATAAGGAAAACTTACCTTATCTTTGAGATAATCGATATCAATACTGCCGTCTTTTTTGACGAGTATGGCCTCCACTTTCATGCCCGCCATATGAGCGCTGGCTGGGTTTGTGCCGTGAGCTGACACTGGGATCAGACATATCTGAATGAGAGAGAGAGAGAGAGAGAGATGTGAATATGTGTTACGATTGAATTAAATAATTTAATTTGAAATTAAAATGACAAAAAACTAAAATATATGTTAAATTTGCGATAATATTCGTGACAAATAAGTAAATGTTAAATATGTTTGACAGGACTCACATCCCGGTGCCCCTCATTTTTAGACTCGAGGTAGGATTTGATGACCCGGAGTCCGGCGTATTCGCCCTGCGCTCCGGAGTTGGGCTGAAACGAGACGTTATCATAACCGGTCAGTTGACACAAGTCGTGCTCCAACTCGTTGATCATCAACTGATAGCCTTTGGTCTGTGATGTCGGTTGGTATGGATGAAGGCTCGCGAACTGTGGCCACGAAGACGGTATCATTTCTGTTGTGGCGTTCAGTTTCATTGTACACGAGCCCTACAAAGCGGTCAATTTGTTTCAAATTATAACAATCTTATTGTGTTTTGTTTTGTTTGTCACAAAAGCCTTACCAACGGTATCATTGAGTGGACTAATGAGATGTCTTTGTTCTCCAACCTCTTCATATATCTCACGAGTTTTGTTTCGCTGTGGTATGTGTTGAACAGTGGATGTGTCAGAAATGCAGACTTTCGGCCCAATGGCGTCGATTCGATGCTCTTTTCCAGCAAATCTTCCGAAAACTTAATTTCGCCGTCTTTTTCATACTATTTACACATTATTAACAAAAATAATAATCATTCAAACAATACAAGGGCTCAATCCCTACAGACCTCTTCGTGAGCGCCAAAAACCCAGACCAAGTCTTTGAGATCCTGATCCGAAACTGTCTCATCCAATGAGATGCCCACGTGTTTGCCGTCGGGATAGTAACGCAAATTGATTCGTCTGGACTCGGCTTTGGATCGGATAAACTTCTGTAGTTTGACCTCCACTTTGAGCGTATCGAACGGCATATAAGTAACCACTCGATTGTCGTCGTTTTCCGATATCTTTTGGGCCAAATATAGTGTCTTCTCGTGTATCGCTTTCGCAATATTCTTCAGACCCTGCGGTCCGTGATATATGGCATACATTGCGCTCATGTTGGCCAACAAGGCCTGAGCCGTGCATATGTTGGACGTGGCCTTATCCCTACGGATGTGCTGTTCGCGGGTCTGTAGGGCGAGTCTGAGGGCCCGATTTCCCTGAGCGTCTTTCGTCAGTCCAACCACTCTTCCCGGCAATATTCGGGTTAAATACTCACGACAGGCCAGAAAGGCTGCGTGCGGTCCGCCGTAGTTCAACGGTATGCCAAACCGTTGAGCCGTACCGATGGCTATGTCACAGCCGGGCCCGTACTCGCCCGGCGGTTTGATCATGGTCAGTGCCAGCAGATCCGTGGCCACTATAACGATACAATCTTTGGCTTTAGACTGTTCCACAATTGACGACAAGTTGTCGACATTGCCGTTGGTGTCGGGAAAGTTGACCAAAACGCCGCAGAATTGGGACAAATCAAAGAGATCACCCAATTTGGTCACTCCGTCGAACACATCTTTGGTGCCGTCGAAGGCCTCCATTTTGATGCCGAGAGCGTCGGCCCGAGTCTTAACGATGGCCATAGTCTGCGGATGAGCGTTGTTGGAGATGAGGAATTTGTTTCGCTTCTCCTTGTGATGCCTATTGTGTGACACAATTGAAGGGACAGGTGTTTGTTGTAGTAATTTAATAGTGACCAAGTTTTTTGTACATATAGTTTATGCGATGCCCTCACCTGAAACACATCTGCATGGCCTCCGCGGCAGCCGTTCCCTCATCCAGAAGACTAGCGTTGGTTATGTCCAAAGCGGTCAAATCGCAGATCATTGTCTGATAATTGAGCAACGATTCCAGCCTTCCCTGCGCTATCTCTGCCTGATAGGGGGTATACGGAGTCGTCCAACCTATTTGTTATATAATACAAACGTGCATTTCTTTTTCAATCTATAAACTTTTTTATGACTTTCACTCAGTTTCAAAACTGATTTAAATTTTAACCAAAACTTCACATAAATCTCTCACTCACTCTAAATCCTTATATATTTAATTAACTTTCAGACGATTGAATAAATTACAAGACATGCGATGGGTTAACGGGAAAACTGACCTGGATTCTCGAAAATATTTCTCAATATGGGCGTCGGTGTCACACAATTATAATAACCCATTCCTATGAATGTTTTCCATTTAATTGAGTTTAAATCGGCGATTGTCTGCAACCGCTCTAATATGTCGGTCTCACACATGGGTTTTCCCAATGTTTTAACGTCTTCTGTCAAACGGATATTCTTCGGGATTGTGGCCGATATGAGCTCTTCCATGTTCTGGTCATCACATTATATAAGAGTTTTGTATCATATGTTTGTTTATTATACAATTTGGTGGTAAACAATGCAAACCTTGAATCCCAGTGTCTCTAACATGACTTTCTTTTCCTCATCTCGAGGCCCGATATGTCGGCCAATGAACTCAACGTCTTTGTAATTACGGTTGTAATTGTAAGCTCTGAGGTGTTGGACAGAGTGTCGGTGTGTCCGCAGCACCCGATGTAAGGAGTGATTTAAGGCGCCGATTCGGCACCGGTTTGTTATTAAACTCATGGTTCTTAAGAGTTGTATTGATTAATAATAACAGATGAAACAAAACTTTTTTCACATATAAACCAACTCAAAAAACTATCTGAAATAATAATTTTTTTAAACGATTACAATTAAAACATTAGGTAATAATTGTCGGTTGTAAATAGGCACTAATATAACCATGTGCTGACGTATTCAGTGATTTATAATCATTGGAAATTAAAGTTAGAGTAAAATCAAAATACATATAAAACCATTCGTACTTTTCTGTAGTTAAAATATTTTTTATTCACTAACTTTTAATATAAAATGAATTATAAATATATCTGAAAGAGATTATAGTGAGAGATAGAAAGTGTGTATATATCTCTCTCCCTATCGCTCTCTCCTCGAAAATAAAAGTGCAATTAATATAATAATAATATACACCAGAAGTGTTATCAATGAAATATCTCATTCAAGACGACAGTCCGTCTAGAGATCAGCTAATATTTGAATTCATCCAAACCCTGTCCTTCGCTCCGTTGGATTTTATAGTAAAATACCTGAACTTTTCGCTCAAATATTTGTAATTTTGAGATGCATTTTGTGTGACTGGGATTCAAATCACGAATTGAGACACTCTTTTATCGCCTCAAATAATTTTAACTCTAGATTTTGTATCAAATGTTTGTATTTATGGCTAAAAGTGAAGGACAGACGACATTAAACGCGGAGAGGAAACAGAATATACTTTATATGTGTTTTAAAATGCGATATTCAATGAAGATATTGACTATCAGTTTATTGACAGTCAAATCAGAATATTATTGCTTTTAATGTCTCTATCATAAGACAACAAACATCTCAATTAAATTGTTATTTATTACAACTATTAAAGTGCTGTCAAATTAAATATAACGTATAAAATACAGTAAATATTGTTGTTGTGTACCAGAAGGTTTAGTTTAGTTTAAATGGCCATGTTCATATGTTTATATTAATATAATATTTGTTGTTAAATAAATTTCATATTTGATATGATTTTCAATATTTAGACGATTAATAATGAGATTATATTTGTACCAAAGCGTTGAATACTTATTGAAAATTATCGCACTTTTTAACCCAATTTTTGTGGCAATTATTTGTTGAAAATTATATTCATCACTAAATGTTTATACATTTTAATTAATTTTAATTTTGTTTGATTTGGTTTTTAATTAATTTAAAAATTAGTTTATTTTATGAAAATATATTTATTAAAATAGTTCACTACAAGACATATGTAAAAATTAAATATTTATATTGGTTATTTGAATTATACATTAATTAATTATGCAGTTAAAAACACAAATATTCCTAAAACCATAAATTATTAATACATATAAATATTTGTTTCTCTCGATTACATATAATTTAAGAAATAAAAAATTAAAATTTGATTTTTAAAAATAATCATTGAATTCATATAAATAATTAAGAAATTGTATTAATTTTTTATATAAATTAAATCCATTTATTCAACAGATAAGAGAGCATTAAATTAAATGTAAAAATTAATTAATTGACTATTAATTCAGCAATTGTCACTTCGAGCCAAAATCCGTATCCCTATATAATTAATTTGTTG